AAAAAAAAAAAAAAAAAAAAAAAAGTAAAGCAGACCATCCTTCTCAGTACATGCCATTTGTTTGGAAAATACATTCTTTTTCTTTCTTATTTTTTTGAGTTGAAGTCTTACTCTGTTGCCCAGGCTGGAGTGCAGTGGCATGCTCACCATCACTGCAGCCTCGACCTGCTGGGCTCCAGCGATCCTTCTGCCTCAGCGTTCTGAGTAGCTGGTACTACAGGCATGTGCCACCATACCTGACTAATTTTTTTTTAATTGATTTATTGTAGAGATGAAGTCTTGCCAGGTTGTCCAGGCTGGTCTCGAACTCGTGGGCTCAGGCAAACCCTCTCACCTCAGCCTCCCAAAGTGCTGGGATTATAGGCGTGAGCCACTGCACCTGGCCAGAAAATATATTCTTTTTCATATCAAATATCATACATGTTATTATGTGGTAGGTTTATTGTCATTTTATTTTATTTTTACTTTTAATGTTCTTTGAGTCTCACTCTGTTGCCCAGGCTGGAGTGCGAGTGGAGTCCACTCACTGAAACCTGGAACTTCTGGGCTCAAGCGATCCTCCCACCTCAGCCTCTGGAGTAGCTGAGACTACAGGCATGTGCCACACTGCCCGGCTAATATTTTTATATTTTGTCTTGCTGTGTTGCCTAGGCTGGTCTCAAACTCCTGGGCTCAAGCAATCCTTCCACCTCAGCCTCTTAAAGTGCTGGGATTACAGGCATGAGCCACCATGCCTTATTTTGTGTATGTCTTATTGTCATTTTAAAATGTAATGTTTTTAACCAGGCACTGTGCTCATGTCTGAAATCCCACATTTTTGGGAGACGGAGGCAAGAGAATTGCCTGAGCTCAGAGGTTCAAGACCAGCCTGAGCAGCATGGTGAGACCTCGTTTCTCTACAATAAATTAAAAAAATCAACCGGGCTTGGTGGTGCATGTCTGTAGTTCCAGCTACTTGGACGGCTGAGGCAGATATCTCCTGAGCTCGGTAGGTCCAGGCTGCAGTGGTCATGAGTGTGCTACTGCACTCCGACCTGGGTGAGAGAGTGAGACTCCAACTCAAAAAAAAAAGGCAGTAACATTTAAAAAAATTCTTAGTCAACACCGATACAATAATTCAGATCCCATTTTTAAGAGTCTAAAGAGGTTCTGAGACCAAAACGTTTGAGAACTGCTGCCTTGACCTAAGAGGCTTGTTTGCGATTTTGTTATAAGAAAACCCACAGATGTGATTCTCTTCCAGACTATGCAGTCCAGATTTTCCACGACGCCACCAAGCACGGCAGATTCGAGTGCAACCTGGAGCCCGGCACGAGGCTTCCGATGATGTACATTGACGACTGCCTCAGGGCCACCCTGGAGGTCATGGAGGCCCCCGCTGAGGCCCTCTCCATGAGGACTTACAACGTCAACGCCATGAGCTTCACCCCTGAGGAGCTGGCCCAGGAGGTTCTCAAGCACGTGCCGGAATTCCAGATCACATACAGCGTGGACGCTGTCCGACAGGCCATAGGTTGGTCCATCCCGCAGAGGCCTTCCCTGGGAGTCCCTGGAGGACATAAGCCTGGGAAGGACCAGAGAGCACAGCTCCCTCCCGAGGGTCCTGGGCATGTGCTGGAGGAGGAGCTGCGGTTGAGCCCGAGACAATAGATGCTTCGTTTTTGGGCAGTGATGTCTAAAGGCCACGACATGGTTCCGTTCCCAATAAACGGCTTGTCAGCGTGTCGCCGTTCTTACCGTTGAACCATATTTCCACTTGCCCCTAGAATACTCCCCAGTTGTGTGGCGGCTGTGGCGTTGACCCTGAGATAAATAACGTGTGGATCTCAGTCCTCATCTTACCCCCAAAGTCTGCCATGAAATAGCTCGCCTTGGTTATTATTTTCGCATTGCTCTAGTAGATCAAAAGTCTTTGGAAGCAAATGACATCGTTTTATTTATTTGTTTATTTGAGTTGGAGTCTCATTCCATCACCCAGACTGGAAGGCAGTGGCGTGCTCATGGCCACCCCGGTGTCGACCCGCTGGGCTCCGGCGAATCTTCCGCCTCAGCCTTTCAAGTAGCTAGAACTACAGATGCGCGCTATCACACCTGGCTAATTTTTTGATTTGCTATAGAGACAAGGTCTTGCCAAGTTACCCAGGCTGGTCTCAAACCCCAGAACCCAAGCAATCCTCTCTCCTCGGCCTTCCAAATGCTGGGATTACAGGCTTGAGCCACCGCACCCGGCCTGACATCATTCTATTTATAGCATTCTGTTTTTAGTAGTATTTCCATTTATAATAGATAGTAATTCTCTTTCTTTTTGTTTCTTTTTTAGTAATTCTCAGGATTACAGACAAGTTTTGTTTAGAAATAACCCCAAGTATAGTTTTTATATTTTATTTTTACATTGAAAACAAGTCAGATTTGCTTCAGCCTCAAAGAATGTGTTTATGTAAAATTAAATGTACATGTCAGCGAGCTGCACTTTTTTTTTTCCTAAATGGGAAATGGTCTAAACACAAAGCAAGGAAAAATGAGGTAGTATGAAAATAGCCCTGGGTTTTCAAACACTGCAACTCTGCCAGTTTGAGACTGGGAGCGCCTTTCTGAGTATGAGATTCCTAACCTGCACTTTGTGTGAAATTTTAATACTGTCTGGAAATTTTCGCTGCCTGGCAGAAGATGTGTGACCCAACCCTCTACTTGAGAAGGTGACTGTGTGTGTGCCTAATAGTGGTTCTGCTTGGCTCAGGGAACTTCCTTCGTTGTACCTTGCGTGATAGTCCTTTATATAAAGCGCTCTCGACTTTCATGCAAGTCTAGAGCCCTAACGACTTAAGCGACTCTTCCTTGTCTCTTCCTAGCGAACAGCTGGCCGATGAACTTTGATGACAGCAACGCGCGGAAGGACTGGGGGTGGAAACACGGTTTTGACCTTCCGGAGTTGGTGACTACGATGTTGAACTTCCACGGTTCTGAAACCAGAGTTGCCCAAGCTAACTGAAGGAATCTGAAGGAAAGGCTTCTATACCCTGGTTCACTGTTTTTTTTTTTTTAATTGGAAAATATAGTTTATTTAGAAAGTAAATGAGAGAGAGAGGAGATTCACCTCCCCAAGGTAGGGGAGGGGGCCAAAGCTAGGAAACATGGCGGCCATAGCTCAGAGAGCCATGTGGACACACCAGAGTTTAACAAAGCAATGGCCCCTGGTTCGCTGTTGAGGGAGAACTGTCTCCACCCCAAGGAGCCTACGTTGTGTGGACTGGACTCACTGGACTCAATCTGGCAGCTCACATTGAACTGCCGTGTGGAAAGCAATGTTACCTTGAAGCATTTTCTAAATGTCGGTTTGGTGGTAGGACATCTCCATCTTTGCTGTTCCCCTAAACCAGTCTGAATGCAGTCCACAGAATGAAGGCTTAAGTCCTGATTAGTTTCCATTTCCTTCATTATGACGAAGTGACCGTTTCTGGAAGTATGTGACATTTGTGTTTAATTAAATTCAACTTCAATATCCCTCCTAAGATTTCATTATTGTCTTGATAAGAAACCAAAGATTATATGTAAAGACTTTCAAAGATGTATTTCTAGTTTAAAAGTATTCCTCAGCTGGGCTCAGTGGCTCAGCCTGTAATCCCGCGCCTTTGGGAGGCTGAGGTGAGTGGATTGCCTGAGCCTGTGGGTTTGAGACCCGCCTGGGCAGCGAGACCTCATCTCTACAATAAATCAAAAAATCAGCCGGGTGTGGTAGCACATGCCTGTAATTCCGGCTACTCGGAAGGCTGAGGCGGAAGGATGGCCGGAGCCCAGCAGGTCGAGGCTGCGGTGGCCGGGAGCGGCCACTGCCCTCCAGTCTGTGCGACAGAGTGAGACTCCAACTCAAAAAATATATATATATATTCCTCACTGTCCTATCAGAACATAAGAAATGTTTGCTGTATTAATCCCATGTGTATCATGTTCAAGGAATTTCAACACTTCTTTAAAAAGTATCACTTTCAAGCCAGGCACAGTAATCCCATTGCTTGAGGCCAGGAGTTTGAGACCAGCCTGTGCAACAAAGTGAGACCTCGTCTTTGCAAAAAATAGAAGAATTAGCCAGGCGTGGTGGCACATGCCTGTAGTCCCGGCTATTCGAGAAGATGAGGCAGGAGGATCGTTTGAGCCCAGGAGTTTGAGGCTCCGGTGAGCCATAATCATGCCACTGCCTTCTGGCCTGGGTGAGAGTGTGACTCTCGCTTAAAACCAAAAAAAATTATCACTCCGAATTACTCGTCTGTAAGCTGATATATCTGCAGAGAATTAAGAATAGTAAAGATAGTGCAACTAGTGAAGGGTAGCCCCTCTGGTATTTGGATCGCCTTCCTGTTGGTGAGCTAAGAGGTAATTCCCAGGAGTAGAATTGCCTGTCTGGCGATGCTGGCATCCCAGGGGGCTTGTCTAAGTATATGGGTTTCAGAAGTCTACCCCTTCAGACTGACTCATGAACTGCGAGGTACTTCTGGCTATTCTAATCCAGTTACTGCCCACTAGTTCAGATCCATTTAGGCCAGCACTGTTTCCTAAAGAGTACTTTCTTATTGCATCCTTTTCAAAAGCATTCCTAGATTGAACTACTCAAAACCTTCTGATGCAATTACTGTATAGGTAAAGACAGATTTTTTTTTTCCTAGCTACCTCGGGATGTGCTACATGTGAAATCAGAAAGTAAAACTTCCATTTCCACAGATTAATCATGGATATATTTGATAATAGCCATCAAGAATTAAAAAGCATTTATATTTATTATGTGTTTAGTCACAAATATTATGCATTTAGAATTTTGAATTCAATGTATTACTTCCTCAGAGGTATAACAGACTTTAAAATCTGTCTGACTCTTACCTGAAGAAATTTTAGGTAATTGAATTGTTTTAATAGTTGTATTAGCATGGGCTTTTCAAACCTCCACTTAATATGATTAAGTTTACTTTATAGATATTATTTTCTAAAACCAAACTGCTAGCAATGAATTCTTTTGCTGACAGCTTTATTAAGATATAGTTCATAGACCATAAAATTGACTCACTTAAAATTTATAATTGAGGGGTTTTCAATATATTATAGAGTTGTACAGCCCATCACTACAATCTGATTTTAGGCCATTTCAACCCCCCACAAAGAAACCACAGTTATACCCTTTCTATCCTAGACAACCATTAATCTACTTTCTGTCTCTGGATTTGCCTGTTTGGACATTTCACATAAGAGGAATGTGGTCTTTTGTTAGTGACTTCTTTTTTTTTCTAATCAGAGCCTCACTGTCGCCCATACTGGAATGCTGCAGTAGCACGCTCACGGCCACCGCAGCCTTGGCCTGCTGGGCTCATGTGATCCTTCTGTTTCAGCCTTCCAAATAGCTGGAACTACAGGCATGCGCCACCATGCCCAGCTATGTTTTTGACTTATTGTAGAGGTGAGGTCTCACCAAGTTGCCTAGGCTGGTCTCGAACCGCTGGACTCAGGCAGTCCTCTCGCCTCTGCCTCCCAAAGTGCTGGGATTACAGGCGTGAGCCACCGCACCCGGCCCTGTTAGTGACTTCTTCGATTAAGCATACTATTTTCAAGCTTTATTCATGTTTTAGTACTTCATTTTTGTATTGTTGAGTAATATTCCATCGTATGGATATACTACATTTTGTTTATCAATAGGGAGGGGCCTAAGGTTGTACGTTTGATCTACTATGAATAATACTGCTATGAATATTTGTTAGGTAATTGGGCTTTAAAGCTTCTTTATTTCTTACTGTTCATAGTTTGAAAAACAGTTTTTAAGTTTGCTTAGCTAATTTTCAGTTATCTCAGGTATACCATTTTAGGGCTCTATCTACTACTTTAAAAACCTTTTCATATATTTTTTAAAAATGTGTGCACATGGTAAAATTCAAGTAGCATAAATGGGTAATTACAGTGAAAAGTCCATCCCTCAGCTGTCCTTTCCAGAGGCAACCATGTTTAGTTGCATATTTGCATATTCAGCTACATATCTACCTCTGTGTGTGTGTATTCCTTGTTTTTCTTGTTCTGTAGCATTTCTTTTTCATTAAATAGCGTAGGAGACTGTTTAATATCAGCTCATCTGGATCTACCTCATTTCTTTTAAAATCTGTATAACTTTTCATTGTTTGGATGTACAAACACATTTAACTGATTGCCTGGTTATGGTAATTTAGACTCTTCCAAGCATTTTACTATAAAAAACAATGCGGTAAAGAACATCATTGCAAGTATGGTAAGCTTTTATTGGCTGAAAGAGCCAAAATAATTTCCTGGGAGTTTAGAAGGACAGAGGATTTTTGTTTGGCTTTTTTTTTTTTTTTTGAGTTGGAATCACTCTGTCGCCCAAGCTGGAGTGCAGTGGCATGCTCATGGCCACCACAGCCTCAACCTTCTGGGCTCAAGTGATCCTTCCACCTCAGCCTTCCAAGTAACCAGAACTACAAGGGTGCGCCACCATGCCTGGCTAACTTATTGATTCATTGTAGAGGTGAGGTCTTGCCAAGTTGCCCAAGCTCGTTCTCGAACCCGTGAGCTCAGGCAATTCTCTCACCTTGGTCTCCCAAAGTGCTGAGATTATAGGCGTGAGCCACCATGCCCGGCCGGGACAGAGGTTTTTATATACAAATACCTGTGGGATGTTCAGGTTCTAATGGATGGTGACTTGATATTTTCATTGCTTTTTTTTCCTTTAAATAAATTATTGTCAAAATACCTTTACTAAAAATTAGAGCTAGGCAGGGTAATTCACACCTGTAATTCCAGCATCTTGGGAGGCTGAGACGGGGATTCTTTGAAGCCAGGAGTTCAAGACCAGCCTGGGCAACACATGAGACTCCATGTGTACAAAAAAAAAAAAATTGCATCCGGGAGCATTGGCTCATGCCTGTAATCCCAGAAGTTTGGGAGAGAGAAGCAAGTGGATTACCTGAGCCTAGGGGTTCGGCACCAGCCTGGACAACTTGGCAAGACCTCATCTCTACAATACATTTAAAAATTAGCCAGGTGTGGTGGCTTGCGCCTGTAGTTCCAGCTACTTGGAAGACTGAGGCAGAAGAATCGCCTGAACCAAGCAGGTCGAGGCTGCAGTGGCTGTGAGCATGCCATTGCACTCCAGCCTGGGTGACAGAGTGAGGCTCCAACTCAGAAAAAAATTAGTTGGGTGTGGTAACATGTGCCTGTAGTCCTGTGTGGGAGGCTGAGGTGGGAGACTCACCTGAGCCCAGGATTTCAGGGCTGCAGTGAGCTATGATTGCAGCACTGCACTCCAGCCTGGGTGATGGAGTGAGAACTTTTCCTTAAAAAAAAAATTACTTTCTGTAAAATTATTCTGCACATCCAACATTCAGAAAAATAAAACTTGCAGAAAATGAAGCTTGATCCCTATCTCTCCCCATATACAAAGATTAACTCATCTTGATAAAAGACAAACCATAAAAATCCTAGAAGGAAACCTAGAAAAACTTTTCTGGACATTGGCCTGGGCAAATAGTTTATGGCTAAAACTCCAAAAAGAAAAAAAAAAAAAAAGCAACAGAAACAAAAGTAAATTAGTGGGACTTAAACTGGAGTGCTTCTACACAACAAAAGAAATAATCAGCAGGAAATAGGCAGCCTACAGGATGAGAAAAGATTCACAAACTACATCTGACAAAGGGCTAATATCCATAATCTATAGAGAACTCAAATCAGCAAGAAAAAAGCAAATAATCCTATTAAAAAGCAGGCCAATGACATGAACAGACATCTCATGAAAGAAGATATACAAATGGCCAACAAACATGAAAAAATGCTCAACATCACTCTTTATCAGGGACGTGCAAATTAAAACCACAATGAAATACTAACTTACACCAGTCAGAATGTCCATCATTAAAAAATAAAACTGGGCTGGGCACGGTCACTCAAGCCTGTAATCCCAACACTTTGGGAGGTCGAGGTGAGAGGATTGCCTGAGCCCACAGGTTC